AGGCAAAGTAGTGACAACTAGAGACGGAGCCTCGCCAGGTGATGAGGACGTCACCACTCTGGGCTTGGGGCTCAACTCCGCCACAGAGATTGAAGGGGAGCAGAGAGAGGCAGTCGGGAGAGTCCAAGAAGGAACATGGTCTGGGGCCAATGTAGCGGGGGCTACAGAGCCCGGTCTTCCAACACAGTCTAACTCAGGCTTGGTCGCCCACCCCACGAGTCTGGGAAGTGAAAAAGAAGGTTAATCATCGGCATAATAACGAGCAGGTAAGAATTTCCTTCACGGATAACCCCCATACCCACCATGGAGCCACAATTAGAAGACAGAACATCTGACAAGACGGGGCTCCCCAAGGGTGCATCGTGAGTATTCGCCCCACAATCGCCACCTTCAGAACCATCAGTCCGTCGAGATCGGGTTCAGCAACGAAGGCGAGGATTGACAATAGAAGCGTCCCCTCGCTCACAACGTCAAGTACCACAGTTCTACGGGTGAGACAGTGTGCCTCCCCAAACACCCGGGCGTCAAAACAGTAGATGTCCGAAAGAACAATCAATAACGGCAAAAAAGTCGGCAGGAAATGACAGTTAGAAAGGAGAAGGGAGGAGGGGAGAAAAAAGGAAACATAAGGAAGAGGAAAAGACCTCCAGCACAATTTGTAAAGACAGCAGCAGGAGCATAAGGCTACAAAAGGACAGAGGACTGTCCCATGGAGCATCACACCCTGACAGCCGCCCCTCACAACGACAACAGGCTGGAAAGGGAGGGGGGGGGGGAACCCTGCAAGTAAATCGACCTCTGTCTTCATGCAGGCGACGAGTCACAATAATGTAGCTAGAGTATGTTGACCAGACCACACACTAGAAGGTGAAGGGACGACGACGTCCCTTCACCGTCTAGTGTGTGGTCTGGTCAACGACCTCTGTCTTACTGTCAAGCCCTGTAGTAATCAAAAGAAGGCTCCAAGCCGGGAAGAACATGTAGCGTCAGTGATGCTGGATATTCAAGAGGCGCTAAATACCACTCAAGATGCCAATACCAGAAGAAAGGTGCATAAGAATGAACTATCAGGATAAAGCACCAAGCCATTACGACTATATAGCACTGGGAAGGGATCAGGATAAGGATTAGGGATGGGACGTAGGGGAAGGAATGGTGTCCAACCACTTGGACGGTCGGGAAATGAACGCCGACCTGCATCAAGCGAGACCGTCTCTCTACCGTCCAGCCCAAGATGTTGACCAAGGAATCTGGTGAGGGTCAAGATGACCAAGAAACACACACGATCGTCCTCACAATGAGGACGTTGTTCAAGGAGCTGCACGACTGTAAGCTGGACTATGCAACACGGACGAACAGGAGCCGGACGTTGTCACATCAAATAAAAAACTATATTCGTAACTGGCAGTACATAGATAATTGGTTAGGTTTACATACAAGTACAGTACACTAATTACACAAGTTTTTTCTTTTTTTGAGATATATAGAAGAGTTGTTACATGGTTGTAGAGCCACTAGTACGCGTAGCGTTTCGGGCAGGTCCCTGGAATACGATCCCCGCCGCGAAGAATCCTTGTTACAACCAAGTACCCATTTTACTGTTGAGTTAAACAGAGGCTACAGTTAAGGATTTGCGCCCAGTAAATCCTCCCCGGCCAGGATACGAACCCCTGACATAGCACTCGCGGAACGCCAGGCGAGTGTCTTACCACTACACCACGGAGACTGTAAACTGTCACAATCGTCATCATTAGAATCACTAAATCAAAACTTATATCTTAGGTATAAAGTGTATTTGTTAACAATTAGAAAGATGATATATTGTGAAGACAAAGTGAGAGTTAACATTATCTTGAGATGATTTCAGGGCTTTTTAGTGTCCCCGCGGCCCGGTCCTCGACCAGGCCTCCACCCCCAGGAAGCAGCCCGTGACAGCTGACTAACACCCAGGTACCTATTTTACTGCTAGGTAACAGGGGCATAGGGTGAAAGAAACTCTGCCCATTGTTTCTCGCCGGCGCCTGGGATCGAACCCAGGACCACAGGATCACAAGTCCAGCGTGCTGTCCACTTGGCCGACCGGCTCCCTTATGGTAGCAAGGTATATATTAACACAAGGTTTATCACACACTTAACATGCCGAGATAATTAGTGGTGTAACTATTATGAAGTAATCATGTCGTGGGGTTGTACATGTCGTCCTCAACCTCCTACACCAACACATTCTGGCATTATCCCCGCTCAAACTCACTACACATACACATACACACATATGCTGACATGTTTACAGGAGTAGAGTCCTACATGTCGATGTTTGCGGATGACGCAAAGTTGATAAGAAGTGTTGTGACAGATGAGGATTGTAGGATCCTCCAAGAGGACCCGAACAGGTTGCAGAGAAGGTCAGAGAAATGGCTACTGGAGTTCAACACGAGCAAATGTAAAGTTATAGATATGGGATTAGGTGATAGGCGACCAAAGGGACAGTACACAATGAAGGGGAACTGCCTACCTGTGACGACTCGAGAAAGAGACCTGGGAGTGGACGTAACACCTAATCTAACTCCTGAGGCACATATTAATAGGATATCGACAGCAGCGTACTCTACACTGGCAAAAGTTAGATCATCATTCAGAAACCTAAGTGAGGAGGCTTTTAGGGCGCTTTATGCTGCCTACGTGAGGCCAGTCTTAGCCCCATCATGGAATCCCCACCTGAAGAAACACATAAGGAAACTGGAAAAGGTTCAGAAAGTTTGCAACGAGACTCGTCCCAGCTTTATGATGGATGGGGTATGAAGAGCGCCTGAAGGAACTGTGCCTTACGACACAAGAAAAAAGAAGGGAGAGGGAGGATATGATAGGAACATATAAAATACTCAGGGGGATTGACAGAGTGGAAATAGGCGAAATGTTCACACGGAATAGTAACAGAACGAGGGGACATGGGTGGAAGCTGGAAACTCAGATGAGTCTCAGAGATGTTAAGAAGTTTTCTTTTAGCGTGAGAGTAGTAGAAAAATGGAATGCACTTAAGGAGCAGGTTGTGGAAGCAAACTCTATTCATAATTTTAAAACTAGGTATGATAGGGAAGTAGGACCGGAGTCATTGCTGTAAACAACCGATGGCTCGAAAGGCGGGATCCAAGAGTCAATGCTCGATCCTGCAGACAAAAATAGGTGAGTGAGTACATACACACACCATCGATCTCACTACCATTGGACTCAAAACAGCCGTCAGTAAACCATCACAATGACAGTAGTTCCTTGATAAGTGCAAATATCGGGCTGTAGATCTTTCTACTGATGAGCCGTGGTAAACTGTACACCCACCACCGCACTATGTACACCTCGCCCAACCCTCTGTACATGGGTGTATTTCCTAACCCTGACGTTTACCACTTAACCTTCAGGAAATACACCTTAATTGTTTTCTGGAAAAAGAAAAGCAGTTCAGTTGCCTGGACAAGTAGGAGAGGCCAGAGGACAACTGCCTAGTAAACAGAATTGACTGAGTTTACTGGACGGTTGATTCCTGTCAGACAATGGTATTCCTTTATGATTTATTTCCTCAAGTGAGGGTACAGACACCAAGCGGGAGATTATGATGACAGCGATGAGGAAATTGAAATGGACACCAATGGTGCGTGTGCAACATTTCATCTGCTCAAAATTAAGCTGAGCAAGGTCAGCATTGTGTAGGTCCCATAGTTCACGCACATACAAGCTTCGACATTGACCTAAATAACCCAACCAGGTATCAACATGACGAAATTGACTAATGTTGACATGTTTGAGTTTCAGGTTTCTAATTAGCAGGAGAGGAATTGGCAAGTGAGCCCTTTGAAGAGACAATATGCCCTAGATGCTTTTCAGAACAGTTTACCGGAATCTCTGGGATTGTGATTATGATTGTGGATTGTGATTATGATTAATTGATGGAGATTGTGACCTCGATAAAACCATCCCCTCCACAAGTTAAAGCTGTGATGTTGACCAGACCACACACTAGAAAGTGATGAGACGACGACGTTTCGGTCCGTCCTGGACCATTCTCAATCGACTTGAGAATGGTCCAGGACGGACCGAAACATCGTCGTCCCTTCACCTTCTAGTGTGTGGTCTGGCCAACATACTTTAGCCACGTTATTGTGACTCATCGCCTGCAGTTAAAGCTGTGAGATTGTTCCCGAATATAAAAAATTAAAGCACTACAAAAACAGGATAAAATTAATGTGCTTTACCTGTAGTAGAGGAAGTGAGGAGCCTCCAGGTGAGTGGTAAGCTTCCAGTAGGGATGTGTTGGGATGGAACCTCCGGCTGTGGCGCATCCCCAAGACATGTGTACCAGTAGAGATACCAGTGACAATCAGCGAGGTCTCATATGTCATGTTGTCGGGAGTCATTTCCTCCGCAGCCTGGTCCATCGTCGGGCGAGACACACATAAGGCTCGTCCCTCATCTTGACCGAGATCTAGAAATCTTTGGGAAAAAATGAACCACTATAACTACCGCGTGTGTATTATCCAGAGACAAATATGTATTACAACTGTATGGTCAACATGTATACTTGTCAAGTCACTGTACAAGTCAATCCACAGCCGTCACCTGGCAGTATAGGTCTTCTATGACGTGTCAATAAAGCTTATCACATCATATTTTCAAACTATTTCACGGTCTACAAATGTCAGGTAACTTCTTCAGGCGCTTGTCCCAACACTGTACACATCTTCCTCAGGAGACACTCTCAGTCGCCTAGTCCCTCGAACCAGAACACAATATGTCGGAGTGGAGCACTGCTTAGGTCGACTATGTCTCCGGACGGCCAGCCTGGAATTGATGTTATCGTCGATGGAGTGAGAGGAACACTGCCTATATGTCCAAATTTACCAATGCTCTTGTTGTCTCGGTCGGCGACTCTGATTGGCCACCAGACGAGCTGTGCTGGTCCTAACAACCCTTATGGTCATTAACCTGGCACCTGAGGAATTAGCAGGTCCATGAGAGGTCGTCGTGAGAGGCAGTCAGATGGTACAAGAGGTCGTCGTGAGAGGCGGCCAGATAGTACAAGTGGTCGTCGTGAGAGGCGGCCAGATAGTACAAGAGGTCGTCGTGAGAGGCGGCCAGATAGTACAAGAGGTCGTCGTGAGAGGCGGCCAGATAGTACAAGAGGTCGTCGTGAGAGGCGGCCAGATAGTACAACAGGTCGTCGTGAGAGGCGGCCAGATAGTACAACAGGTCGTCGTGAGAGGCGGCCAGATAGTACAACAGGTCGTCGTGAGAGGCGGCCAGATAGTACAAGAGGTCGTCGTGAGAGGCGGCCAGATAGTACAAGAGGTCGTCGTGCGAGGCGGCCAGATAGTACAAGAGGTCGTCGTGAGAGGCGGCCAGATAGTACAACAGGTCGTCGTGAGAGGCGGCCAGATGGTACAACAGGTCGTCGTGAGAGGCGGCCAGATGGTACAACAGGTCGTCGTGAGAGGCGGCCAGATGGTACAACAGGTCGTCGTGAGAGGCGGCCAGATGGTACAAGAGGTCGTCGTGAGAGGCGGCCAGATGGTACAACAGGTCGTCGTGAGAGGCGGCCAGATGGTACAACAGGTCGTCGTGAGAGGCGGCCAGATGGTACAACAGGTCGTCGTGAGAGGCGGCCAGATAGTACAACAGGTCGTCGTGAGAGGCGGCCAGATGGTACAACAGGTCGTCGCGAGAGGCGGCCAGATGGTACAACAGGTCGTCGTGAGAGGCGGCCAGATGGTACAAGAGGTCGTCGTGAGAGGCGGCCAGATGGTACAACAGGTCGTCGTGAGAGGCGGCCAGATAGTACAAGAGGTCGTCGTGAGAGGCGGCCAGATAGTACAAGAGGTCGTCGTGAGAGGCGGCCAGATGGTACAAGAGGTCGTCGTGAGAGGCGGCCAGATGGTACAAGAGGTCGTCGTGAGAGGCGGCCAGATGGTACAAGAGGTCGTCGTGAGAGGCGGCCAGATGGTACAACAGGTCGTCGTGAGAGGCGGCCAGATAGTACAAGAGGTCGTCGTGAGAGGCAGCCAGATAGTACAAGAGGTCGTCGTGCGAGGCGGCCAGATAGTACAACAGGTCGTCGTGCGAGGCGGCCAGATGGTACAAGAGGTCGTCGTGAGAGGCGGCCACATAGTACAAGAGGTCGTCTCCTTCCCCCACCTTAGAATGCATTCCCACATTAGTCAACTTTACCATATATTTGATTAAACTAGAACAATTATAAGTGCAGCAGAAGGCACTTTTTATCCGACATTCCTGGCCTAAAATGTTTATAAGGTCCTAAAATGTTTATAAGGTCCTAAAATGTTTACTTCAGTTGTAAAAGTGACTAAAAGAGGGGCACATCCGGCTCCAACATCCAGTGGCAGCCAGGACTACTCTGTTAAATGAACAAGCTGGCTATCAACCACAGGCTTGTGGGGCGTCTTCGGGATCGCTTCGTTAAACTACAAGCAATTACAGTCAGTTTACGACTCCAAACCTAATGTTTATGTTCTGTTCCGACCAGCCTCCATCCTGGTGGATAAGTGTAGGCCTAGGGGACCCCTATATAGGCCTGGGGGACCCCTATATAGGTCTGGGACCCCTATATATAGGCCTGGGGGACCTGTCTATAGGTCTGGGGACCTGTATATAGGCCTGGGGGACCCCTATATATAGGCCTGGGGGACCCCTATATATAGGCCTGGGGGACCTGTATATAGGCCTGGGGGACCCCAATATAGGCCTGCGGAACCCCTATATAGGTCTGGGACCCCTATATATAGGCCTGGGGGACCTGTATATAGGCCTGGGGAACCCCTATATAGGCCTGCGGAACCCCTATATAGGTCTGGGACCCCAATATATAGGCCTGGGACCCCTATATATAGGCCTGGGGGACCTGTATATAGGCCCGGGGGACCTGTACTCACCTATTTGTGCTTGCGGGGGTTGAGCTCTGGCTCTTTGGTATATATAGGCCTGGGGGACCTGTATATAGGCTGGGGGACCTGTATATAGGCCTGGGGGACCCCAATATAGGCCTGCAGAACCCCTATATAGGTCTGGGACCCCTATATATAGGCCTGGGACCCCTATATATAGGCCTGGGGGACCTGTATATAGGCTGGGAGACCTGTATATAGGCCTGGGGGACCCCTATATATAGGCCTGGGGGACCTGTATATAGGCTGGGAGACCTGTATATAGGCCTGGGGGACCCCTATATATAGGCCTGGGGGACCTGTATATAGGCCTGGGGGACCTGTATATAGGCCTGGGGGACCTGTATATAGGCCTGGGGGACCTGTATATAGGCCTGGGACCCCTATATATAGGCCTGGGGGACCTGTATATAGGCCTGGGGGACCTGTATATAGGCCTGGGGGACCCCTATATATAGGCCTGGGGAACTGTATATAGGCTTGGGACCCCTATATAAGTCTGGGGGACCCCTATATAGGTCTGGGACCCCTATATAGGCCTGGGGGACCCCTATATAGGTCTGGGACCCCTATATAGGCCTAGGGGACCTGTATATAGGCCTGGGGGACCCCTATACATAGGCCTGGGGGACCCCTATATAGGTCTGGGACCACTATATTAGTCTGGGACCACTATATAGGTCTGGGACCACTATATAGGTCTGGGAGATCACTATATAGGTCTGGGAGATCACTATATAGGTCTGGGAGATCACTATATAGGTCTGGGGGACCACTATATAGGTCTGGGGGATCACTATATAGGTCTGGGGGACCACTATATAGGTCTGGGGGACCACTATATAGGTCTGGGGGACCACTATATAGGTCTGGGTGACCACTATATAGGTCTGGGGGACCACTATATAGGTCTGGGGGACCACTATATAGGTCTGGGGGACCACTATATCGGCCTGGGAGACCACTATATAGGTCTGGGACCACTATATAGGTCTGGGGGACCACTATATAGGTCTGGGGGACCACTATATATAGGTCTGGGACCACTATATAGGTCTGTGGGACCACTATATAGGTCTGTGGGACCACTATATAGGTCTGGGGGACCACTATATAGGTCTGGGGGACCACTATATAGGTCTGGGGGACCACTATATAGGTCTGGGGGACCACTATATAGGTCTGGGGGACCACTATATAGGTCTGGGGGACCACTATATAGGTCTGGGGGACCACTATATAGGTCTGGGGGACCACTATATAGGTCTGGGACCACTATATAGGTCTGGGGGACCACTATATAGGTCTGGGGGACCACTATATAGGTCTGGGGGACCACTATATAGGTCTGGGGGACCACTATATAGGTCTGGGGGACCACTATATAGGTCTGGGACCACTATATAGGTCTGGGGGACCACTATATAGGTCTGGGGGACCACTATATAGGTCTGGGGGACCACTATATAGGTCTGGGGGACCACTATATCGGCCTGGGAGACCACTATATAGGTCTGGGACCACTATATAGGTCTGGGGGACCACTATATAGGTCTGGGGGACCACTATATATAGGTCTGGGACCACTATATAGGTCTGTGGGACCACTATATAGGTCTGTGGGACCACTATATAGATCTGGGGGACCACTATATAGGTCTGGGGGACCACTATATAGGTCTGGGGGACCACTATATAGGTCTGGGGGACCACTATATAGGTCTGGGACCACTATATAGGTCTGGGGGACCACTATATAGGCCTGGGACCACTACATAGGTCTGGGGGACCACTATATAGGTCTGTGGGACTACTATATAGGCCTGGGGGACCACTATATAGGTCTGGGACCACTATATAGGTCTGTGGGACTACTATATGGGCCTGGGGGACCACTATATAGGTCTGGGACCACTATATAGGTCTGTGGGACTACTATATAGGCCTGGGGGACCACTATATAGGTCTGGGACCACTATATAGGCCTGGGGGACCACTATATAGGTCTAGGGGACCACTATATAGGTCTGGGGGACCACTATATAGGTCTGTGGGACTACTATATAGGCTGGGGGACCACTATATAGGTCTGGGGGACCACTATATAGGTCTGGGACCACTATATAGGTCTGGGACCACTATATAGGTCTGGGGGACCACTATATAGGTCTGGGAGACCACTATATAGGTCTGGGAGACCACTATATAGGCCTGGGACCACTATATAGGTCTGGGACCACTATATAGGCCTGGGACCACTATATAGGTCTGGGGGACCACTATATAGGTCTGGGGGACCACTATATAGGTCTGGGGGACCACTATATAGGTCTGGGGGACCACTATATAGGTCTGGGGGACCACTATATAGGTCTGGGGGACCACTATATAGGTCTGGGACCACTATATAGGTCTGGGGGACCACTATATAGGTCTGGGGGACCACTATATAGGCCTGGGACACCACTATATAGGTCTGGGGGACCACTATATAGGTCTGGGGGACCACTATATAGGTCTGGGACTACTATATAGGTCTGGGGGACCACTATATTGGTCTGGGACCACTATATAGGTCTGTGGGACTACTATATAGGTCTGGGGGACCACTATATAGGTCTGGGGGACCACTATATAGGTCTGTGGGACCACTATATAGGTCTGTGGGACCACTATATAGGCCTGGGGGACCACTATATAGGTCTGGGGGACCACTATATTGGTCTGTGGGACCACTATATAGGCCTGGGACCACTATATAGGTCTGGGACCACTATATAGGTCTGTGGGACTACTATATAGGCCTGGGGGACCACTATATAGGTTTGGGACCAGTATATAGGTCTGTGGGACTACTATATAGGCCTGGGGGACCACTATATAGGTCTGGGGGACCACTATATAGGTCTGGGGGACCACTATATAGGTCTGTGGGACTACTATATAGGCCTGGGGGACTACTATATAGGCCTGGGGACCACTATATAGGTCTGGGGGACCGCTATATAGGTCTGGGACCACTATATAGGTCTGGGACCACTATATAGGTCTGGGGGACCACTATATAGGTCTGGGGGACCACTATATAGGTCTGGGGACCACTATATAGGTCTGGGACCACTATATAGGTCTGGGGGACCACTATATAGGTCTGGGGGACCACTATATAGGTCTGGGACCACTATATAGGTCTGGGACCACTATATAGGTCTGGGACCACTATATAGGTCTGGGGGACCACTATATAGGTCTGGGGGACCACTATATAGGTCTGGGGGACCACTATATAGGTCTGGGAGACCACTATATAGGTCTTGGACCACTATATAGGTCTGGGAGACCACTATATAGGTCTTGGACCACTATATAGGTCTGGGGGACCACTATATAGATCTGGGGGACCACTATATAGGTCTGGGGGACCACTATATAGGTCTGGGGGACCACTATATAGGTCTGGGAGACCACTATATAGGCCTGGGACCCCTATATAGGTCTGGGACCACTATATAGGCCTGGGACCACTATATAGGTCTGGGGGACCACTATATAGGTCTGGGGACCGCTATATAGGTCTGGGGGAACACTATATAGGCCTGGGACCACTATATAGGTTTGGGGGACCACTATATTGGTCTGGGACCACTATATAGGTCTGGGAGACCACTATATAGGTCTGGGGGACCACTATATAGGTCTGGGGGACCACTATATAGGTCTGGGGGACCACTATATACGTCTGGGGGACCACTATATAGGACTGTGGGACCACTATATAGGTCTGGGGACCACTATATAGGTCTGGGGGACCACTATATAGGTCTGGGGGACCACTATATAGGTGGTCTGGGACCACTATATAGGTCTGGGACCACTATATAGGTCTGGGGGACCACTATATAGGTCTGGGACCACTATATAGGTCTGGGGGACCACTATATAGGTCTGGGGGACCACTATATAGGTCTGGGGGACCACTATATAGGTCTGGGAGACCACTATATAGGTCTGGGACCACTATATAGGTCTGGGAGACCACTATATAGGTCTGGGGGACCACTATAGGTCTGGGGGACCACACTATATAGGTCTAGGTCTGGGAGACCACTATATAGGGGGACCACTATATAGGTCTGGGAGACCACTATATAGGTCTGGGACCACTATATAGGTCTGGGGGACCACTATATAGGTCTGGGGGACCACTATATAGGTCTGGGGGACCACTATATAGGCCT